TATTATCAACTTATGGATAGAATGTGGTGAATTTCATGATTACAAAAACCATACAGTTTTTTCACTTTTAGGTCAAGTCCTATAAATCCTGGTCATATCATTTAGGAAGTATGGTACAACCTTGAGGGAAATATCCGATGAGAGCGTTTGCATCCAAAAAAATATGATCTGACGATGTATTAGCCAGTTGTGTTGCAAATTCCTGTACAATGATAAATATCTAACCATAGTTAATAGAATGGTTAAGAAGTCCGGTAAACATCAAAGAAGCAAACAAACAGGCTAACATTTATGTTGAAAGGTCCTTGACCCTGCACATCTTTTGTTTTATGCTCATAATCGCAATGCTTCTATTATAATATTGGTTAGTTGTATGAGCACACATAACCACCCATTGTATTTTGCCAGGTCTTGTGCAGGGTCAACCACCAAAATAGCCAACAAAATACATACATACATACATACTTTATTTGCAACTCCCCAAAGGGGCTTTTCAGTTACAAAAGGAATAAAAAAGATAAAAATACGTCAATTAAAATGAATAAACAAACTGGGTAAGGAGTCTAAAATTAATTACAGTATTAAAGATTTAAAAATTTACAAAGTTTTAAAAAACATACAACAAAGAACTTTGCCAGGTTTCCTAACCATTCCCTCTATTAACTATCATCCAACATATGGTTATTTTGGTGCACTTCCACAGGGGACGACCCATGGTACAAAAAGGCGAGCTTTCACTGGCCATTCAACACCTTGACAGACCCCGGCATTGTAGACCAACGGGGCACCAACAGTGTCAGGGCCTATAACAAGAACGGCCTTCAACTGGATGGTTTGTTAGGGAGCTGGGCTGATCTGGGGAACTTCTCATACCACTGTATCAACAACCCAGACGCATGCGCACTAGGCTTTACAATGACTTTCTGGTTGCGAGTTAACGACCGTCAAGATAAGCGATTTGTCATGCAAATTGCTTCTGCCACGCTAGCTGTCGGGACAACGGTGGAAATAGACAATGACATGCTGGGTGTGTTCGTAAACAGTCCTGCAGTACAGCGGAATATCGAAATAAAGTGGCCTTACTCAAGATGGAATTTCGTAGCTGTAACGTGGAACAAAACAGAGGGCAAGGTCGGTGTTTTGTTAAACTGCAGCTCCGTGCCGTACCAGAAAGATACTGTCGACCGCAGGTATGATCTCGCACCCGTTCCGCCGTATCACACGCTTATGCTGGGGGCCAATAACGCTCGACTGAGGAGCATTAAGATGACTATTGACGAACTTGCGGTCTGGGACGGCGTCTTGTCGACAAAGGACATATGTTATATCATGGAGTCTAAGGCAGGTAAAATGCAACAAGTTTGCTTTGAAAATAATTTTAAAATAAGGGAAACTTAACACATCGAAGTACATCTGTTAGGTAATAGATCACAGATGACGTCAAAATGTGGTAAGAAGAATAAAAAATGGCACAGAAGCCGTTAGGCAAGAATGTCACTGGTGTTCTTTGCACATTTTGATGTCATCTGTGGTCTGAACAGACGTACGGCAACATGAAATCTATGTGTTTAATAAAGCAAAAAAATAAAAAATGTTAATGACGTCCTGTATGCCCACCAATTGATCATAAGTAGGAACAAATCAACCTTGAAGCTGACAAAACAATATTGTATTAAAGTACATTTTTATTATCTGTTTGTTTATTAAAATATTGTAGTTCTAGTGTGTGTCCTCTCCGCGTAGTTTGGTTTTCAGCATATATACAAACGCTCTTTGAGCCAGTTTTATCGATCCATCCTGAGTCATGATATACACAATAGCTTTGGCTACTAAGGACCAATCCACCGTGGGAATAAAGATGGCGGATGTACATTTTACCACAAGGCCTTGCGAACCTAACACAGCCTAAAAGGCACAAAGAAAACCAAATTTTTACAAAATATGTCCCTGTAGTAAGGAAATTAAGTAGCCTAGGTTTGAAGATTGTATAACGTTTCTGTACGTTTTTATGAACGTTGTTAAGATTTTCGTACGCTAAGAACTATGGGTAAATGTACCAGTCGCCATCCTTTTTCCTACGAAGGATTTATACAGGAAATTAACAAAGGCATGTGAAAACATAATATTATCATCCCAAGTATGCCAGTGCGAGTGAATGCTTGATTGAAAAAGTGTCAACCGAATGATGGAGAGGCTGTTTATTGTCTAGTGGACAGACTGACCGAGCGACTGACTGATCATGCCTGACTAAGTAAAAGACAGATCAAAGGGCCGACCTACCGACCCAGCCACCGACTGACTGATTGATTACATCATTGAGAGATTCAATGGATTATGGTGAGCAGCCATAAAGCAGTCTTCAATATTGTTTTAACTACATATGTTCATTTCTTAGTTGATGGAAACTACACCAACTGGTCTGACTTCAGCCCGTGTTCGGTCTCATGTGGTCAGGGTACAAAAACGAGGACCAGATCTTGCACTAATCCTCGGCCACAACACGGAGGGGAACCCTGTCAGGGTGATTCCAAAGATGCACAGAATTGCTTTCTAAGGTACTGCCCTGTACATGGCAACTATACTGAATGGTCCGTGTTTAGCCCTTGCACGTTAACATGCGGAGGAGGCAAGCAATATCGAACTAGAGCTTGCACTCGTCCTAGTCCCCAATACGGCGGACGTAACTGCTCGGGACTGGGTCCGGAGCGAGAGGACGTCGACTGTAATCAAAATCCTTGTCCAATTAATGGCGGTTACAGCGAGTGGTCGGATTATAGCGCATGCTCCGTGAGTTGCAACAGCGGAAAAGAAACCCGGACAAGAATGTGCAATCGACCATTACCACAACACGGAGGCAGGGACTGCTCTGAGTATGGACCAACCAAAGAAACGCGGTCCTGCTTTATTAAGGTGTGTCCCGTTGATGGTAACTATAGCAACTGGAGTGATTTTAGCCCTTGCACTAAATCCTGCGGAAGTGGGCTGAAAACCAGGACTAGAGAATGCAACAATCCGGCCCCAGTGGGAGAGGGCAGGAATTGTTCTCGTTTAGGCCCACCAAAAGAGCACTGGCCTTGCAACACACAGCCTTGTCCAGTCAGTGGGGGATATACGCCATGGTCTGAATTCAGCCCATGCACAAAATCCTGTGCGGGTGGGACTCAGTTTAGGACACGCAACTGTACCAATCCCAAACCGGAAGCAGGAGGTCAAGATTGCACTCGTCTAGGGCCCCCTGAGGAGACAGCGCCATGTAACACACAGCCCTGTCCCGTGGACGGTGGGTATGGAGAGTGGTCTAGATTCTCGTCATGTTCTCGGACGTGCGGTGGCGGAGAAAGCGTTAGATCAAGAAAGTGCAATAATCCAGCTCCACGGCATAAGGGAAGAGACTGTTTGCGATTAGGACCTGCGCGAGAAGCTCGTGATTGCAACCCAGAGCAGTGTCCAGGTGGGAATTTTTGTTTCCCAAAACATTGTTTGTTATAAGAATGTATATTTTGAGAGCATGGATGGCGCATTTGTGGGAGCGCTTACCTCTCATCAATGCGGCCCGTAGTTGAAATCCTGTACCGTCATCACAAGTGATTGAGTTTGCTATTGGTTCACACCTTGCTCCGAGCATTTTTCTCCGGCTCCTTCGGTTTTCCTCTATCCTCAAAAACACTACAAGTTCCGATTGGATCAGTAAGAAAGCGCCTTTCCGAAGGATGTACCATTGCCTAGACGAATCTCAGTTATTTAGATTTAATCATTTTTGTAAGTTTCTTTTAAGCTTTCTTTTCTCAATTTTTAGACATTTCGAGCCGAAGATGTTATTCAAATGTTATTTTCCCTTTTGAAAAAATAAAAGAAAGAAATTGACATGGCCCGCCCTCTGAAGCGCATTCAAGTTGTATGTTTTCATATACACTTCCGTGTCATTTGATGACTACATGCAGTATTATTACTGTTCTATATTTTTTCCCGCAGATATCAGTTTCATAACAGCCGTTACGTTCACAGAAGAGAAGTTTTACACTGACATTTTGAACATGAATTCTAAGACGTTCAAACAACTGGAAAAGAAAATCAAATACAATGTAAGTCTGATCGATAGTAAATTCAATTTCTCCCAACAATATCTATACATTGTGTAGCAGACAGTTGATGAGAATATAGAAAAGTGATTTATATCAAATGATATGGTAGAATGTATATTAGCCCGGGAAATATGAAAAGACGACTCTTTTTTCTGTTAAGCCATCCGAGTTCAACAACTAGGAGCAGAAAAAAATTGTCCTAAACCCTTTCGAAGTTTGCATGTAGCCGCGCATTTTTAGGAATAACCCTTCAAAGTAAGCTGTGGTAATCTGTAAGCAATTTTTTGAAATAGAGTTTGAAATATTGCCGGAATAATTGTCAACCCTTCGCGTTTCAGGTGGGTAAGATTTATGACGAAAATTCTGCTCTACAGTCGATTGAGGTTAAATGGTGTGGAACAACAGATGGGTAGGAAAAGAATGCTGCATAAGTACATTATAATTATACTACTAGTGTGATTTATAGCAAAGTTATAGCATTAGATAATTAAGTATAAAGAACAATTAGACTCGTCAGCCAATTTCAAAGCGTAATAAAACCAAAACCAGAACCAAAGTAATTGCCCAATTATACTTTCTACACTCAATTGAAAACTGCTGTGAGCAACTATGGACCTTCTCTTTTCGGAAATCAGTGATTTCTTAAGTAACAATTTTTGGTATCAACTACTTTCTCCTTTATTGTAATAGTTTTTTTTTTATTGTAATAAAGTGTGAGTCATCTGTGCATCTATAATTTATCAATTGTTACTTCTCAATATTTAAGATAATAATTTAGTAATTTGTTTCAAAAGTCTGACTGTCCAATATATTATTTCACAAACTGGGCACTCTATGGTCCCTCGCACAATAATTGAAATTAGTACATACTCGATCTTAAATCTGAGAAATTACTAGTACTGGATTAAAAAAATTCCCTTGGATGGCAAATTAGATTAAGCTCTTGACCTTGCTCGATTTGGTCGTCCTCTAAATTGTTATTACCTAAATCTTTCCCTTACTGAACAATGCGTTCCCCTGATGGATTTATTTATAATCTGATTGATCAAGGAAACTTATAAATGCTCTTGTGAAGGTGAATTAATCAACATGACACGAGCGTGGGACAAAGAAAAATTCTGAGTCCCCGACAGGAATCGAACCCATGACCTCCCGAACACCGG